GGTTGAAAATAGTTGTATCCCTGAAAACCGGAACATTGTTTTTGACAACTATCATTATGTCATGTAGCCGAATGCCACAGCAGAGGAGATTAGTAACATGGGCACGTTATGCCCTTATTCACAGATGTAAGTATTTTGGCAGAGAAGTGAAGACAGCATTACACATTAGTTATACAAAGTAAACAACCTACAAACATACTCGCGAGTGATGAAAAACACTACTGGAGGGGCGCCGATGGTGTCGTCGAACCATAATTATTTAGGCCTGAGTATTAAGACCAATTGAGGCGAATTGAGCTTCAGAACGCCGCCGCCACTCTAGCCTCCGAAGCTGTAGCAGTAGCTGGACCACAGCCTCAACCCGTCTAGCCTCCGAAGCTGTAGCAGTAGCTGGACAACAGCCCCAACCCGTCTAGCCTCCGAAGCCGTAGCAGTAGCTGGACAACAGCCCCAACCCGTCTAGCCTCCGAAGCCGGGGCAGTAGCTGGACAACAGCCCCAACCCGTCTAGCCTCCGAAGCCGTAGCAGTAGCTGGACAACAGCCCCAACCCGTCTAGCCTCCGAAGCCGTAGCAGTAGCTGGACAACAGCCCCAACCCGTCTAGCCTCCGAAGCCGGGGCAGTAGCTGGACAACAGCCCCAACCCGTCCCCAGGATCAACACAGACTGGTGGTGCAGCTGTGGCAGTTGCGCTCCAATGCCGACAGATGACGAATGTTTGTGCTGCAGAGAATTAGAATACGTGACTACAATTCTTACAGAAATGGAGGAACGTAATGATCACGAGGAGCAGTTAAACTCTGGTGTATTCGATAAACTAATTGGAGATGCAAACCAAGGGCCAAATGGACAGTTATCCAATGAGTAAATAGCTAAACTTTACTTTATGGAATGATCGTATACCATAAATCTCTATGAGCGTTACTGGGTTTACACTGAGTATACAAAACATTAGGAACACCTTCCTAATATTGAGTTGCACCCCCTTTTGCCCTCAGAACAGCTTCAATTCGTCGGGGCATGGACTCTACAAGGTGTCCTTTGGGTGGTGGACCATTCTTGATATACACAGGAAAATGTTGAGTTCTTGACAGACTCAAACCGGTGCGCCTGGCACCTACTACCATACCCCGTTCAAAAGCACTTTTGCATTGCCCATTCACCCTCTGAATGGCACACATACACAATCTCACAGGAGGCTGCTGAGGGGAGAACAGCTGATAATAATTTCCGGAATGGCGCAAATAGAATGGCATCAAACACATGGAAACCATGGAAACCATGTGTTTGATGTATTTGATACCATTCCACTTATTCTGCTCCAGCTATTACCATGAGCCCGTTCTCCCCAATTATATCGGAAAACGGTGAAATGTAGTGCCTTCTTCAGGGACTGAACACCAGCTTGCTCTTGCAGCCATCTCTTTTTCAACTTTGCGTTAGTAATTTTACCTGCGACTCTATCAACTTTCACACCAGCCACCCCCCCCGCCCCAAAAAATTAATAAAACGTTAATCTGTGAAGCCAAGCAAAGATGGGAAACCAAAGCAACATGGGCTATATGTGACATAAACCCTGAAGAGAAAGACAATTAAGATTTTTGTAAAGATTTGTTTAATTTCTCAGTAAATTTAATAAAGTTTGTGTTAGATTTCATCGTCAACCTCCATATAAGGGCATATCATGACGCTTCTACGTAGCAGGGTCTCCCCCAACGAGGGGGCACGTGCAGTTGTTATCCATCTTCACTGCTGTAGCAGTCGGCTACATAAAATAATGATATTAAATACTTCATGCATAACCAAGCACGTACAGTACATCACAGTTTGGCTCGGCTCTTTGTGAGTCAGTAGTGTGAAAATAGTAACAGAGACCTCGACAGACGTAGACTAAGGCGCGAATCCTAACTTCAATTTGAGTCAAAGTTTCACTTAAGTCTTCCATTTCCATCAATGCATGACAAAGTGAAAATTGGATCTGACACTTTCTCTCAAGCTGAAGAGTGAACAACCCAATGGTAAAGTTGTGCTTTATTGTGTTAAGCTAAAAGCGGGCAAAAGAGAGGTGTTAGCCTGGATATCTGCCGAGGCCAGAGTTACCAGAGAGGCAGTAGTATGAAACATTGAGTACTTGCAAAGGGTTCGAAAATGGAAAAAGGAGGGGGTGCTGGATAATTGAGTTCCGATGTACACATCATAGGGGCCTGTGTCATGCTGATCAAACCGAAGTGATGTAACAAACCCGTTGACAGAAAGAGGTCCTTAAAAAAGACCATGACGTAAAGACAATCAGTGTGTATGAGGGGATCAGTTAGAGCAAGGCGAGGTGCTAAGCTTCATCACTCCTTCATGACAAGTCAAGGTCCTCGCTTCATCTACAGTGGGGAAAAAAAGTATTTAGTCAGCCACCAATTGTGCAAGTTCTCCCACTTAAAAAGATGAGAGAGGCCTGTAATTTTCATCATAGGTACACGTCAACTATGACAGACAAAATGAGATTTGTTTTTTCCAGAAAATCACATTGTAGGATTTTTTATGAATTTATTTGCAAATTATGGTGGAAAATAAGTATTTGGTCAATAACAAAAGTTTCTCAATACTTTGTTATATACCCTTTGTTGGCAATGACACAGGTCAAACGTTTTCTGTAAGTCTTCACAAGGTTTTCACACACTGTTGCTGGTATTTTGGCCCATTCCTCCATGCAGATCTCCTCTAGAGCAGTGATGTTTTGGGGCTGTCGCTGGGCAACACAGACTTTCAACTCCCTCCAAAGATTTTCTATGGGGTTGAGATCTGGAGACTGGCTAGGCCACTCCAGGACCTTGAAATGCTTCTTACGAAGCCACTCCTTCGTTGCCCGGGCGGTGTGTTTGGGATCATTGTCATGCTGAAAGACCCAGCCACGTTTCATCTTCAATGCCCTTGCTAATGGAAGGAGGTTTTCACTCAAAATCTCACGATACATGGCCCCATTCATTCTTTCCTTTACATGGATCAGTCGTCCTGGTCCCTTTGCAGAAAAACAGCCCCAAAGCATGATGTTTCCACCCCCATGCTTCACAGTAGGTATGGTGTTCTTTGGATGCAAATCAGCATTCTTTGTCATCCAAACACGACGAGTTGAGTTTTCATCTGACCATATGACATTCTCCCAATCCTCTTCTGGATCATCCAAATGCACTCTAGCAAACTTCAGACGGGCCTGGACATGTACTGGCTTAAGCAGGGGGACACGTCTGGCACTGCAGGATTTGAGTCCCTGGCGGCGTAGTGTCTATACTGATGGTAGGCTTTGTTACTTTGGTCCCAGCTCTCTGCAGGTCATTCACTAGGTCCCCCCGTGTGGTTCTGGGATTTTTGCTCACCGTTCTTGTGATCATTTTGACCCCACGGGGTGAGATCTTGCATGGAGCCCCAGATCGAGGGAGATTATCAGTGGTCTTGTATGTCTTCCATTTCCTAATAATTGCTCCCACAGTTGATTTCTTCAAACCAAGCTGCTTACCTATTGCAGATTCAGTCTTCCCAGCCTGGTGCAGGTCTACAATTTTGTTTCTGGTGTCCTTTGACAGCTCTTTGGTCTTGGCCATAGTGGAGTTTGGAGTGTGACTGTTTGAGGTTGTGGACAGGTGTCTTTTATACTGATAACAAGTTCAAACAGGTGCCATTAATATAGGTAACGAGTGGAGGACAGAGGAGCCTCTTAAAGAAGAAGATACAGGTCTGTGAGAGCCAGAAATCTTGCTTGTTTGTAGGTGACCAAATACTTATTTTCCACCATAATTTGCAAATAAATTCATTAAAAATCCTACAATGTGTTTTTCTGGATTTTGTTTTCTCAATTTGTCTCATAGTTGACGTGTACCTATAATGAAAATTACAGGCCTCTCTCATCTTTTTAAGTGGGAGAACTTGCACAATTGGTGGCTGACTAAATACTTTTTCCCCCACTGTATGTCATTTTAAGATCAATGAAATTATATCACCAAATACAAATCCCACCCCTAATGTAATCAATAGCTACGCTGCCTGACAAATCTGCTGAAAACATATACGGAAGATCAATACACTTGAATAAATAGGTCAGGGAAAAAAGGTGTAAAATAGGAACTTCAAACAACCTGTTTTTACCTTAACTTGACCTTCTGGCATCGTTAGTAGGGTGGCAAAATTCCAATAAATTCCCTGGGCTTCCAGAAGTCGTGGTTGGAGGATTCCGTATTTCATGCTTGTTCCTTCCTGATTCCGGGAGTCCTCCAACCGGGATTTCGGGAAAAGCAAGGAATTTGAGAGTTCCCAGAATTTTGCAACCCTAATCACCCATGAGTCACCTAGGTTGCGTTCCAAATGGCGGGTAGTGCACTATGTAGGGAATAGAGTTCAATTTGTTACGCAGCCCTAGCATCTTGTAACCAAACGAATGTGACTCCATGCGTGCTTGGTCTGAAGGACGTGCTTGGTCTGAAGGGCGTACTTGGTCTGAAGGGTGTGCTTGAGTTCATTAGCAGAGGAAAGGTGGCCCACCGTGGCCTTTACAGCTTCGGCCCTCACAGCACGCCACAGCAGGGCTTCTCTATAATGAGAGAAGATTTACCCAAGGGCCTTTCCTTCAGCACAATCAGGCCTATTCTAGTTTAAGGTGAATGGAAAGGTTGTGTAGGGTCATGTTCATGCTGAGCAATGGCATTCAAAAGCTCCAATAATAGTCAATTGAGAGGCCTTTTTTTTAAATAGGGTGTCATTTTGTGTTTCAAACAACATTGTGTGTATATATGATCACACTATTCAGAGCATTTATTTGTTATAATAATTTTTAAAAAATGTGTTTAATATTAGATAATGTAGAATATAAAGACCATGAATTGCCATATGAAATACATTGGAACTAGGCTGAGGGCCAGTTTGGGACCAGGCTACACTTGGAACTAGTCTGAGGGCCAGTTTGGGACCAGGCTACACTTGAATTTGAACTACAATAAAGAAGCGCAGGTTAATAATATGAGGTTCGTGGCGGACATTTCCACCCCAAAAACCATCCACAAGAGTACCCAACCCCATAATCCCATTTTTAAATTGGTTTGATAAATCAATGTTCTAGGGCAGTGGGTTACTTTGACACTCTTGTATGACTCTGACTCATAACACCTTCCATAATGTGTCTGGCTGTGGCATAACCTTTGCCTGATGAGAATGTGTCGTAATGTCAACTGGAGCTACAGTGCAATTAACAGCTCCTTCGGTTCATACTTCAGTCTGAGACTGCCGTCGTTGAAGTTGTTTGTGGTGACGTCAAAATGAGGGGTGTTTTACAAAACAAAGTCATCAGCGATTGGATAATCTCTAACCAATCAGAGTCCTAAAGCCAATGATGAATAAAAAAATAAAAAAAATCTGCTTTATCCACGCACGTTCTGGCTCTGGCCCAACCTATTGGTTTCTGGGACCAATCAGAATGGTTAGAATGTGTTTGCGTTCTAGTAATCTTTGGAGAGGTACTCAGATCCAGACTCATTGCAGAGATTAAAATAACATCTGTGGGAGTGGCGTAGCGTTTGGCAAAAGGGTTTTCTAATGATCAATTAGCCTTTTAAAATGATAAACTTGGATTAGGAAACACAACGTGCCATTGGAACACAGGACTGATGGTTGCTGATAATGGGCCTCTGTACGCGTATGTAGATGTTCCATTGAAAGTCAGCCGTTTCCAGCTACAATAGCCATTTACAACATTAACAATGTCTACACTGTATTTCTGATCAATTTCATGTTATTTTAATGGACAAAAAAATTGCTTATCTTTCGAAAACAAGGACATTTCTAAGTGATCCCAAACCTTTGAACGGTAGTGTGCATATATACAGTGGGGAGAACAAGTATTTGATACACTGCCGATTTTGCAGGTTTTACTACTTACAAAGCATGTAAAGGTCTGTAATTTTTATCATAGGTACACTTCAACTGTGAGAGATGGAATCTAAAACAAAAATCCAAGAAAATCACATTGTATTATTTTTAAGTAATTAATTTGCATTTTATTGCATGACATAAGTATTTGATACATCAGAAAAGCAGAACTTAATATTTGGTACAGAAACCTTTGTTTGCAATTACAGAGATCATACGTTTCCTGTAGGTCTTGACCAGGTTTGCACACACTGCAGCAGGGATTTTGGCCCACTCCTCCATACAGACCTTCTCCAGATCCTTCAGGTTTCGGGGCTGTCGCTGGGCAATACGGACTTTCAGCTCCCTCCAAAGATTTTCTATTGGGTTCAGGTCTGGAGACTGGCTAGGCCACTCCAGGACCTTGAGATGCTTCTTACGGAGCCACTCCTTAGTTGCCCTGGCTGTGTGTTTCGGGTCGTTGTCATGCTTGAAGACCCAGCCACGACCCATCTTCAATGCTCTTACTGAGGGAAGGAGGTTGTTGGCCAAGATCTCGCGATACATGGCCCCATCCATCCTCCCCTCAATACGGTGCAGTCGTCCTGTCCCCTTTGCAAAAAGCATCCCCAAAGAATGATGTTTCCACCTCCATTCTTCACGGTTGGGATGGTGTTCTTGGGGTTGTACTCATCCTTCTTCTTCCTCCAAACACGACGAGTGGAGTTTAGACCAAAAAGCTCTATTTTTGTCTCATCAGACCACATGACCTTCTCCCATTCCTCCTCTGGATCATCCAGATGGTCATTGGCAAACTTCAGACGGGCCTGGACATGCGCTGGCTTGAGCAGGGGGACCTTGCGTGCGCTGCAGGATTTTAATCCATGACGGCGTAGTGTGTTACTAATGGTTTTCTTTGAGACTGTGGTCCCAACTCTCTTCAGGTCATTGACTAGGTCCTGCCGTGTAGTTCTGGGCTGATCCCTCACCTTCCTCATGATCATTGATGCCCCACGAGGTGAGATCTTGCATGGAGCCCCAGACCGAGGGTGATTGACCGTCATCTTGAACTTCTTCCATTTTCTAATAATTGCGCCAACAGTTGTTGCCTTCTCACCAAGCTGCTTGCCTATTGTCCTGTAGCCCATCCCAGCCTTGTGCAGGTCTACAATTTTATCCCTGATGTCCTTACACAGCTCTCTGGTCTTGGCCATTGTGGAGAGGTTGGAGTCTGTTTGATTGAGTGTGTGGACAGGTGTCTTTTATACAGGTAACAAGTTCAAACAGGTGCAGTTAATACAGGTAATGAGTGGAGAACAGGAGGGCTTCTTAAAGAAAAACTAACAGGTCTGTGAGAGCTGGAATTCTTACTGGTTGGTAGGTGATCAAATACTTATGTCATGCAATAAAATGCAAATTAATTACTTAAAAATCATACAATGTGATTTTCTGGATTTTTGTTTTAGATTCCGTCTCTCACAGTTGAAGTGTACCTATGATAAAAATTACAGACCTCTACATGCTTTGTAAGTAGGAAAACCTGCAAAATCGGCAGTGTATCAAATACTTGTTCTCCCCACTGTATATATATATATATATCCCACTGACAAAGACATGATCAGTCTATAATTTTAATGGTAAGTTTATTTGAACAGTGAGAGACAGAATGACAACAAAATAATCCAGAAAAACGCATGTCAAAAACGTTATCAATTGATTTGCATTTTAATGAGGGAAATAAGTCTTTGACCCCTCTGCAAAACATGACTTAGTACTTGCTGGCAAAACCCTTGTTCGCAATCACAGAGGTCAGACGTTTCTTGTAGTTGGCCACCAGGTTTGCACACATCTCAGGAGGGATTTTGTCCCACTCCTCTTTGCAGATCTTCTCCAAGTCATTAAGGTTTTGAGGCTGACGTTTAGCAACTCAAACCTTCAGCTCCCTCCACAGATTTTCTATGGGATTAAGGTCTGAAGACTGGCTAGGCCACTCCAGGACCTTAATGTGCCTTCTTGAGCCACTCCTTTGTTGCCTTGACCGTGTGTTTTGGGTAATTGTCATGCTGGAATACCCATCCATGACCCATTTTCAATGCCCTGGCTAAGGGAAGGAGGATCACACCAAAGATTTGACGGTACATGGCCCCGTCCATTGTCCCTTTGATGCGGTGAAGTTGTCCTGTCCCCTTAGCAGAAAAACACCCCCAAAGCATAATGTTTCCACCTCCATGTTTGACGGTGGGGATGGTATACTTGGGGTCATAGACAGCATTCCTCCTCCTCCAAACACTGCGAGTTGAGTTGATGCCAAAGAGCTCCATTTTGGTCTCATCTGACCACAACACTTTCACACAGTTCTCCTCTGAATCATTCAGATGTTCATTGGCAAACTTCAGACGGGCCTGTATATGTGCTTTCTTGAGCAGGGGGACCTTACGGGCGCTGCAGGATTTCAGTCCTTCACGGCTAAGTGTGTTACCAATTGCTTTCTTGGTGACTATTGTCCCAGCTGCCTTGAAATCATTGACAAGATCCTCCTGTGTAGTTCTGGGCTGATTCCTCACCATTCTCATGATCATTGCAACTCCACAAGGTGAGATCTTGCATAGAGCCCCAGGCCAAGGGAGATTCACAGTTCTTTTTTGTTTCTTCCATTTGCGAATAATCGCACCAACTGTTGTCATCTTCTCCCCAAGCTGCTTGGCGATGGTCTTGTAGCCCATTCCAGCCTTGTGTAGGATAACAATCTTGTCCCTGACATCCTTGGAGAACTCTTTGGTCTTGGCCATGGTGGAGAGTTTGGAATCTGATTGATTGATTGCTTCTGTGGACAGGTGTCTTTTATACAGGTATCAAGCTGAGATTAGGAGCACACTCTTAAAGGGAGTGCTCCTAATCCCAGCTTGTTACCTGTATAAAAGACACCTGGGAGCCAGAAATCTTTCTGATTGAGAGAGGGTCAAATACTTATTTCCCTCATTAAAATGCAAATCAATTTATAGCATTCTTGACATGTGTTTTTCTGGATTTTTTGTTGTTATTCTGTCTCTCACTGTTCAAATAAACCTACCAATAAAATTATAGAATTATCATTTCTTTGTCAGTGGGCAAACATACAAAATCAGCAGGGGATCAAATACTTTTTTCCCTCACTGTATATATATATATATATATATACCGGTCAAAAGTTTAGAACACCTACTCATTCAAGGGTTTTTATTAATTTTTACTATTTTCTACATTGTAGAATAATAGTGACGACATCAAAACTATGAAATAACACATATGGAATCATGGAGTAACCAAAAAAGTGTTAAACAAATCAAAATATATTTTATTTGTGAGATTCTTCAAATAGCCACCCTTTGACTTGATGACAGTTTTGCACACTCTTGGCATTCTCTCAACCAGCTTCACCTGGAATGCTTTTCCAACAGTCTTGAAGGAGTTCCCACATATGCTGAGCACTTATTGGCTGCTTTTCCTTCCCTCTGCGGTACGACTCATCCCAAACCATCTCAACTTGACATCATGGGAAAATCAAAAGAAATCAGCCAAGACATCAGAAAAATTATTGTAGACCTCCACAAGTCTAGTTCATCCTTGGGAGCAATTTCCAAACGCCTGAAAGTACCACGTTCATCTGTACAAACAATAGTATGCAAGTATAAACACCATGGGACCACGCAGCCGTCATACCGCTCAGGAAGGAGACACGTTCTGTCTCCTAGAGATGAACGTACTTTGGTGCGAAAAGTGAAAATCAATCCCAGAACAACAGCAAAGTCCAGTGTCAAGATGCTGGAGGAAACAGGTACAAAAGTATCTACAGTAAAACGAGTCCTATATCGACATAACCTGAAAGGCCGCTCAGCAAGGAAGAAGCCACTGCTCCAAAACCGCCATAAAAAAGCCAGACTACGGTTTGCAACTGCACATGGGGACAAAGATCGTACTTTTTGGAGAAATGTCCTCTGATGAAACAAAACTGTTTGGCCATAATGACCATCGTTATGTTTGGAGGAAAAAGGGGGTCGCTTGCAAGCCGAAGAACACCATCCCAACCGTGAAGCATGGGGGGTGGCAGCATCATGCTGTGGGGGTGCTTTGCTGCAGGAGTGACTGGTGCACTTCACAAAATAGATGGCATCATGAGGAAGGAAAATGATGTGGATATATTGAAGCAACATCTCAAGACATCAGTCAGGAAGTTAATGCTTGGTCGCAAATGGGTCTTCCAAATGGACAATGACCCCAAGCATACTTCCAAAGTTGTGGCAAAATGGCTTAAGGACAACAAATTCAAGGTATTGGAGTGGCCATCACAAAGCCCTGACCTCAATCCTATAGAAAATGTGTGGGCAGAACTGAAAAAGCATGTGCGAGCAAGGAGGCCTACAAACCTGACTCAGTTACACCAGCTCTGTCAGGAGGAATGGGCCAAAATTCACCCAACTTATTTTGGGAAGCTTGTGGAAGGCTACCCAAAACGTTTGCCCCAAGTTAAACAATTTAAAGGCAATGCTACCAAATACTAATTGAGTGTATGTAAACTTCTGACCCACTGGGAATGTGATGAAAGAAATAAAAGCTGAAATAAATCATTCTCTCTACTATTATTCTGACATTTCACATTCTTAAAATAAAGTGGTGATCCTAACTGACCTAAGACAGGGAATTTTTACTAGGGTTTAATGCCAGGAATTGTGAAAAACTGAGTAGAAATGTATTTGGCTAAGGTGTATGTAAACTTCCGACTTCAACTGTATGTGACAGGTTTGCTGAGTTGCATTTGATCGTTTGTGTAATATGTGACATTGCTTAGATACAGACATGGATAGAGATGACAGAGTATTGTTGACACATTGTTAGAAAGTAATACTATGGTCCTTTGTAGCTCAATTGGTAGAGCATGGCGCTTGTAACGCCAGGGTAGTGGGTTCGATCCCCGGGACCACCCATACGTAAAAATGTATGCACACATGACTGTAAGTCGCTTTGGATAAAAGTGTCTGCTAAATGACATATTATTAAGATCTACTCATAACAAAACATAGATTAACCCTATGAGAAAACATAGATTAACCCCATGATAAAAAATGGATTAACCCCATGATAAAAAATGTATTAACCCCATGATAAAACATAGATTAACCCCATGATAAAACTTAGATTGGACATCACTTCCAAAGCTCAAATGTGCATTTGAAACCTATAAAGAACAAAATCTGTATTTTCCCCACTGTGTGTGGCGAAATTAATAGCATACAGTTTGTTCATCTATTAATCGTGACCTCGAGTGTGCTCACAAGTAGTGCCCGTTGTCATGGTAACAGGTTGTTTGAGACCCATCCAGAATGCAAGAACGTCTTCTTCCTGTTCCGTGACGTGGAAGACCTGGAGAGGCTGCGGAACAACAAGGAGTTACAAACTCACGGCCTACGGTCAGTGACACCCTTCACCTCCTCCCTCAATCTTTCTTTATCTCCTTTCTCCCTCCTGCCATTCTACCTCCTCCTCTCACCCTCTCACCCTCTCATCATCACCCACTTGTCAGCTCCCAGGCAAGCTCTGAGCACATCCAGAGACGCGAGTGCAGAAACTGTGAGGACGGTGGGTCCCTTATTTCTTATTGTCTTGGCACACAGTCAACTAGATTCAGAGAAGGCGTGAGATTGCACCAAGATATTGCTTTTTTTTAAATAGTAAATGAATAAGATTGGGTCTAGGAAGCACAGCTGTTTGTTTGTTTCTTGTTTATTTGGATCCCAATTAGCTTTTGCAGAGGCAGCAGCTATTTTTCCTGGGGTCCACAAACAACACAAAATATGACAACACACACACTGATAAACTGATAGACAAGGACAGTCACACACATTTATAATACAATGATGTACAAACAATACAACAATAAAACAACAACAACAACAACTTATACAAACAGTAAAACTACTAAAATGACGTGTATGTTAGTGTGTCTTTGTGTGCGCGTGTGTTTGATTGTGTGGTTAGAAGCTGGTTAGAATATGAGATGGCACTCCACAGACCACATGCACAGAATACCTTACCCTGCATTCACATGATAGCTACATTTCCAATGTAGTATAACTAGTATAATCTCATGCACCTTCGAGTGTCATCATTGTCAGCATAATACGTCAGTCGGTTTCCTGAAACAAAGCGGTAAGATGGCGCCGAAGGTTTCTACTTTTTCTAGTGTTTTTTTGTAGCGTTTTAACGCAAATTTTCTTACAATACTTAATAAACCCGGGCAGAACTATTGGAATATGAATCGCTATTGGAATATGACCCCCCCCCCCCCCCCTGTACCCTGTAATTACACCTGCAACTCTGTAAATTTTTACATTTCTAATCTAAATCTAATCTAATCTGCCTGTTCTTGAGCTGAGCGTGAGTGGACTGAAATTACTTGTCTTGTACCTGCTGCGGCCCTGGCAAAGAGGAGACATTTAACCCAGTGTCTGCTGTCTACGTTTCTCACAGCGACCCACAACACACGTCGCACAGGACACTGACCGTAAGCGAGGCATCAAAGGGTTGCCAATGCTAACGCTATAGCTAATTAAGCCGCAGAGCGGGTTGTGGCTATTAATTCAGCAACAGGGTGCCTGGGAGTGGGACTAAACACACACTGTTGAAAGCTAGGTTTGCTATCGCCAGCGTCAACTTGTCACGCTCGTCTAATGAGGAGGACCAAGGCGCAGCGTTGAAAGTGAACATAGTATTTATTAGACTGATCACACGATCAAAATAACTGACGAAAACGTGATGTCTCTGGTTACATAAACAAACCAAAATGAGAACAAGAAACCACAACACAAAGTGAAAAGACCGATAGTTAAATATGGCTCCCAATCAGAGACAACCAGCTGACACTCGTTGCCTCTGATTGGGAGTCACTCAGGCCAACATAGATATACAAACATAGACTTACACACCCTGGCTCAACATAACATAGTCCCCAGAGCCAGGGCGTGACAGTACCCCCTCCCAAAGGCGCGGACTCCAACCGCGCCAAACAACCACAACAGGGGAGGGACCGGGTGGGCACTCCGCCTCGGCGGCGGATCCGGCTCCGGACATGACCCAGGCACGGGTTGTGCTGGACTGACGACGCGCACCCCTGGCTTGGTGCGTGGAGGAGGAACGGGCCTTACCAGGCTGACGACGCACACCGTAGGCTTGGTGCGTGGAGCAGGGACAGGCCGGACTGGGCTGACGAAGCACACCACTGACTTGGTGCGGGGAGCAGGAACGGGCCGGACCGGGCTGACGAAGCGCACCCCTGACTTGGTGCGGGGAGCAGGAATGAGCCGGACCGGGCTGACGACGCGCACCACTGACTTGGTGCGGGGAGCTTGGACGGGCCGGACTGGGCTGGCGACGCGCACCACCGACTTGGTGCGGAGAGCAGGAACGGGCCGGACAGGGCTGGTGACGCGCACCACCGACTTGGTGCGGGGAGCAGGAATGAGCCGGACCGGGCTGACGACGCGCACCACTGACTTGGTGCGGGGAGCTTGGATGGGCCGGACTGGGCTGGCGACGCGCACCACAGACTTGGTGGGAGTGGCAGGAACAGGCCGGCCCGTACTGGGAACACACACCACTGGCCCTACGTGGGGATCAGGAACAGGCCGGACCGGACAGGCAACACACGCCAGTGCCTCTCGCCGTGCCTCTACAACCTCCTTCCCCCTGGTGACCAGTGACTCCCGTAACCTGGCGGCCTCCTCTGCCAACCCGCTGGACCGCTCTATCGCGGCCTCCTGCTGCCCCGACGTCGTGAGCCCCCCCCTAAAAATTTTCTGGGGGTCTCTCCTCCCCGTGGGCCAGGCCTCCATCGTTCTCGCCAGACTCTCACCCCACTGCTCCAAAGTCCAACCTCTCTCCTCTTCTCTTGGCTTGGCCCAGTCGAGACTCCTACTCCACTGCTCCCAAGTCCACCCTCTCTGCTCCTCACTAGGCTGCTTGGTCCAGTTCTGGTGGTTTCTTCTGTCACGCTCGTCTAATGAGGAGGACCAAGGCGCAGCGTTGAAAGTGAACATAGTATTTATTAGACTGATCACACGATCAAAATAACTGACGAAAACGTGATGTCTCTGGTTACATAAACAAACCAAAATGAGAACAAGAAACCACAACACAAAGTGAAAAGACCGATAGTTAAATATGGCTCCCAATCAGAGACAACCAGCTGACACTCGTTGCCTCTGATTGGGAGTCACTCAGGCCAACATAGATATACAAACATAGACTTACACACCCTGGCTCAACATAACATAGTCCGCAGAGCCAGGGCGTGACACAACTTCAGTTGCTTCTCAGTATGACAGGTTTTTAAAGGCTCTCTGATCTCTTTCTTTGACTAAAAGGTAGAAATGTCTACTCTAAAGTAGTGGGACTACAACTTAGTCACAGGGGTACTGAAAAGTTCCTTGAGATCTTCTGATGCAGAAGTAGTTCTGATGGCTTGGTTAGTTGAAGCGTGGTGCTAGGAATGGGGCCCATATAACTAGCTACATTCAAGTCTTTATCTTACAACCTAGACATGTGTACTGTGTATTTAACTATCTAGTTGTAACTGCTTGAGAGCATGGGGCCTCTAACCTGACCAGCATTATCATGAGATACACTTGGTGCCTTCAGGAAAACAAACACATGAGTGTCTAGCGCTAGTCAATCAGTTGCTAATGTGATAGGCCTACTTGTAGCTCAGTTGTTAGAGCATGGTGCTTGCAACGCCCGGGTTGTGGGTTCGATTCCCACGGGTGGCCAGTATGAAAAAATTGATGCACTCACTAACTGTAAGTCGCTCTGGATAAGAGCGTCTGCTAAATGACCCCCCCCCCCCCCAAAAAAAAAAAAAATACCAGATGTCTCATTCCCCTTTCCCTAAATGTCCCTTTAGCTAACAACACAGAAGCTTGCTACTTTGCATTGGCCGATGTCACGGTTTGAATGTTAGTGTGCCTTTCTACTTCTGACCCTATTTACCTCTGACAATGGCATTTCTTCATGTCTTGAAGGATAATGCACTTCATTGAGAAAAGCGTGGCCAGACTTAATCAGATGGAACAACTGGACCAACTGATCCTAGATCTGGGCAAGAGCCACTATCGTTACAACTCCCCACCGAAGTACTACGTGGTAGGTGTTCAGTCTGGTTTCTGGCTAATGTAATCTTGTTCATTTATGATCTTAAAGGCTAAACTAATCCTAGATCAGCACTCAAAATATTCCATGGCTAGAAAATAGAGTTCCAGTACTACCTTTGCTTAACAACAGAGCGTGGACTTTCACAGAACATTCATCACTACAGGACTAGGGATGATGTGTGCAGATATTCTTGGAATCCATCCAGCTTTAATCTTCTCTGTCTAGATAATAACTGCATGATAACGTAATGGAAAATCTGTCTTGTTATTTTGTTGGATGTTGGATCATCAGATAATTCTGAGTCTATTGCTCTCTGTTTATCAAACATTTATGACCTTCCAGGGCACTAATTATGTCCTCTGGGTTTATTCCAGTACGTGGGGACAGAGTTTATTCGAGCCGTCCAGCCAATCCTGAAGGACAACTGGACCCCAGAAGTGGAGGAGGCTTGGAAGGTAAACAGTTGATGGGAACATTCCCATCCCAGCTAGCAACCATGGTGTGACGATGACAATGAGCCACCCGTCTCAGTTCCATTAACTCTGTGGAGAAGCTATTTAATGATTAAAACTGGGTAACACTACTTTATAAGGCCTTAAAGGGCAATCTGAGATTGGTATATCCAGTTTTGGACTTTTAAATTAAATATATATAGCCATTGATTCTTGAAAAATATAACATATAAATGCCTCATAGGCTTAGTTCAACTGTCTAACCCCATCAGAACCGAAAATATAAGCTTGCTTTACTCCAAATGTAATTGTAAATGAAGACTGTATAGACTTGGTCTTTTACCAAATAGGGCTATCTTCTGTATACCCCCCTACCTTGTCACAACACAACTGATTGGCTCAAACGCATTAAGAAGGAAAGAAATTCCACAAATTAACTTTTAAGAAGGCAAACCGGTTAATTGAAATGCATTCCAGAAGAGTGTGCAAAGCTGTCATCAAGGCAAAGGGTGGTTATTTGAAGAATCTCACAAATAAAATATATTTTGATTTGTTAAACACTTTTTTGGTTACTACAAGATTCCATGTGTTATTTCATACTTCTGATGTCTTCACTATTATTCTACAATATAGAATATAGTAAAAATAAAGAAAAACCCTTGAATGAGTAGGTGTTCTAAAACGTTTGACCGGTAGTGTATACCCATTGATTCTTGAAGAATATAACATATAAATTCCTCATGAGCTTAGTTCCACTGTCTTACCCCATCAGAACCCAATATAACCTTGCTTTACTAAATTTGTAAACAATTAATTGTAAACAAAGAATATAGCTTTAAAATGGGTTAAAACCATAGAGATCCTATTAAATGACGTGTTTAATACTATCATTGTGATTGCATGGATCGTCTGTCCTTGCATACATAGCTCATTTCGCCAGCTCTATCTCTCAGCCATTTACAGTGCAGGAAAAAAGTATTTGATCCCCTGCTGATTTAGTACGTTTGCCCACTGACAAAGACATGGTCAGTCTATAATTTTAATGGTAGGTTTATTTGAACAGTGAGAGACAGAATAACAACAAAATAATCCAGAAAAACGCATGTCAAAAATGTTATAAATTGATTAGCATTTTAATGAGGGAAATAAGTATTTGACCCCTCTGCAAAACATGACTTAGTACTTGGTGGCAAAACCCTTGTTGGCAATCACAGAGGTCAGACATTTATTGTAGTTGACCACCAGGTTTGCACATATCTCAGGAGGGATTTTGTCCCACTCCTCTTTGCAGATCTTATCCAAGTCATTAAGGTTTCGAGGCTACCATTAAAATTACAGACTGATAATTTCTTTGTCAGTGGGCAAACGTACAAAATCAGCAGGGGATCAAATACTTTTTTCCCTCACTGTACCCAAAAAAGTGGCAGGGTGTCGGCTTTGTGGTTGTTTGATTGTGTTCAGATCTAGCTGACCACTTCAGAGCCTGGTTCCTCTCTAGGTTTCTTTGTAGGGTCCTGCCTTTCTATGGAGATCTCCTAGCCACCATGCTTCTACATCTGCATTGCTTGCTTGCAGTGGGCAGCGTCATCAGCACTCCTCCCACAAGTCTCCAGAAAACTTGTGTTTTGGGACGAGAGGCACCTTTTCATTATAACGTTGGAGGACATATGTTCCTAGCGTGTGAGGAATGTGTTTGCTGGCCTCATAAATGCTAGCCAGCTAGCTAATACTGTATTTAGAAAAACTATTTTTTGTTTGGCTAGAGTTATGCTAACCCGTTTGCAACCCCTTTAGCGTTCCTTGCTAGCTTGCTGGCTAGCTACAGAGGTTAGCTGGCTAGTTAGCTACAGTAGTTAACTACTGCCATAAGTTGTTGTGTTATTATCATATTTGGCCTATTCCACTGTTTATAGAATGCATACTGGCATTTGAATATAGAGTGGGAAAAGGGAATCTGGACACACAGTAGACACATTTAAATGTAGGTGTAGATGCATGACGCGTTCAGAATTCCATGATCAGAACTCTATGATCAGAATACTAAAGCTGTATGAACTGTCAAGCCTAGACACGGCCTTGGACTCATTGTCAGATAATGATCAGGAAAGGTCCTATCACAAAAACACCTGGGCCTGAATGGCCTTAGGCAAGGGAATGATGGATTAAATTATACAAGACAGGCATCTTCAGACATAGACCGTGCATCCACATGATGCTTCTGAAATTCCAATTAGCACTTGAGACTGAATCTTGAACAGTACTTGTTCTTGTCTCAACCAATGAAACCATAGAGACAGAAAGACACCACTTAGTAACACAATTACACTGAACAAAAATATAAACGCAACATGTAAAGTGTTGGTTTCCATACGCACAAAAAGCTTATTTCTCTCAAATGTTGTTCACAAATTGGTTTATATCGCTGTTAGTGAGCATTTCTCCTTTGCCAGGATAATCCATCCACCAGACAGGTGTGGCATATCAAGAAACAGCATGATCATTACACAGGTGTACCTTGTGTTGGGTACAATAAAATGATATTTTAAAATGTGCCGTTTTGTCAGACAACACAATGCCACAGGTGGCTCAAGTTTTGAGGGAGTGTGCAATTGGCATGCTGACGGCAGGAATGTCCATCAGAGCTGTTCCCAGAGAATTTAATGTTGATTTCTCTACCACAAGCCACATCGTTTTAGAGAACTTTGCAGTACGTCCAACCGGCCTCACAACCGCAGACCATGTGTAGCCACACCAGCCCAGGACCTCCACATCCGACTTCTTCACCTGCGAGATTGTCTGTGACCAGAATAATTTCTGCACAAACTGTCAGAAACCGTCTCAGGGAAGCTGATCTGTGTGCTCGTCATCCTCACCAGGGTCTTGACCTGACTGCAGTTTGGCGTCGTAACCGACTTCAGTGGGCAAATGCTCACCTTCAATGACCACTGGCATGCTGAAGAAGTGTGCTCTTCATGGATGAATCCCGGTTTCAACTGCACCTGGCAGACAGCGTGTATGGCGTCATGTGGGTGAGCGGTTTGCTGATGTCAACGTTGTGAACAGAGTGCCCCATGGTGGTGGTGGGGTTATGGTATGGGCAGGCATAAGCTTAAGCTAGGGCGGCAGGTAGCTTAGTGGTTAAGAGCGTTGTGCCAGTACCCGAAAGGTCGCTGGTTCTTATCCCCGAGCCGACTAGGTGAAAAATCTGCCGAAGTGCCCTTGAGCAAGGCACTTAATCCTAATTGCTCCTGTAAGTCGCTCTGGATAAGAGCGTCTGCTAAATTACTAAAATGTAAGCTACGAACACAATTGCATTTTATCGATGCCAATTTGAGATACCGCAACGAGATCCTGAGGCCCATTGTCGTGCCATTCATCCGCCACCATCACCTCATGTTTCAGCATGATAATGCACGGCCCCATGTCGCAAGGATCTGTACACAATTCCTGGAAGCCGAAAATATCCCAGTTCTTCCATGGCCTGCATACTCAGACGTCACCCATTGAGCATTTTTTGGATGCTCTGGATCGACGTATACGACAGTGTGTTCCAGTTCCTGCCAATATCCAGCAACTTCACACAGCCATTGAAGAGGACTGGGACAACATTCCACAGGCCACAATCAACATCCTGATGAACTCTATACGAAGGAGATGTGTCATGTTGCATGAGGAAAATGGTGGTCAAACTAGATACTGAATGGTTTTCTGATCCACACCCCTACCTTTTTTTAAGGTACTGTACCTGTGACCAACAGATGCATATCTGTATTCCCAGTCATGTGAAATCCATAGATTAGAGCCTAATGAATTTATTTCAATTGACTGATTTCCTTATATGAACGGTAAAATCTTAGAAATTGTTCCATGTTGTGTTTATATTTTTGTTCAGTGTATATTGTATTGTTTTGAATAGGTTGAGCCCAGGCTTACATCTCCAGGATGTTCAAGGCCTTTGTCCTTGCATTTTTTTTCTTCATAGTTACAACCTTTATCAGGTTGGCATTTAGCTATAAGGGCACATTTGAAATCCAGAGTTGTGCTGAAAACATGTTGCCAGTATGCTGTTTAATTATTTTTTTCTGCGTTGTTATTCACTAAGTAAAAGGCTTTCTAAGCTTTTTTTTGTCTCCATGAACATGAGCACCATGATCATCCAGGGGAAAAACTGTAAGCCCTGAGCATTTTCAATGTTTTGCTGTGCTAATGGTACAAGAGAGAGATGTTCCGTTTTTGACTCATTTCATTCAGACATATCAAAAGGACAGCAATGTATACTGTCCAGCAGCGGTTCCCAACCTTTGTCGGTTACTGTACCACCACCTGAATTTTGCTCTGCCCGGAGTACCCCTGAAGTACCCCCTCATGTGCATTTTAACAGTAGGCCTATGGTCTCATGAGACTTCTCAAGTACCCCGTATGGATAGGCCAAGTACTCCCAGGGGTCCTAGTACCACTGGTTGGAACCACTGCTGTATTTACCATGTAATGGAGCAGTAGATGTCTATTCCATGTCTTCTGTGTTGACCTTCATGTTGTCCTACAGACGTTGTTCCTGTACATCTCCAGTATCATGAAGCAAGGCTATCTGGAAGAGGAGAAGAACCAGAGGAACGCAATGGCCAACACCAGTAGAGAGAGACCAGAGAAGAGGCTCAATGTCATCTAGGAGCAGCCTACTCCCCAGTCATCTAGGAGTAGCCTACTCCCCAGTCAACTAGGAGTAGTCTACCTCCCAGTCAACTAGAAGTAGCCTACCCCCCAGTCATCTAGGAGTAGCCTACTCCCCAGTCAACTAGGAGTAGTCTACCTCCCAGTCAACTAGAAGTAGCCTACCCCCCAGTCAACTATGAGTAGCCTACACCCCAGTCAACTAGGAGTAGCCTACCCCCCATTCAACTAGGATTAGCCTACCCCCCATTCAACTAGGAGTAGCCTACCCCCCATTCAACTAGGAGTAGCCTACCCCCCATTCATCTAGGAGCAGCCTACCCCCCAGTCAACTAGGAGTAGCCTACCCCCCATTCAACTAGGAGTAGCCTACCCCCCATTCAACTAGGAGTAGCCTACCCCCCAGTCAACTAGGAGTAGCCTACCCCCCAGTCAACTAGGAGTAGCCTACCCCCCAGTCAACTAGGAGTAGCCTACCCCCCAGTCAACTAGGAGTAGCCTACCCCCCAGTCAACTAGGAGTAGCCTACTCCCCAGTCAACTAGGAGTAGCCTACCCCCCAGTCAACTAGGAGTAGCCTACCCCCCAGTCAACTAGGAGTAGCCTACTCTCCAGTCAACTAGGAGTAGCCTACCCCCCAGTCAACTAGGAGTAGCCTACCCCCCATTCAACTAGGATTAGCCTACCCCCCAGTCAACTAGGATTAGCCTACCCCCCAGTCAACTAGGAGTAGCCTACCCCCCAGTCAACTAGGAGTAGCCTACCCCCCAGTCAACTAGGAGTAGCCTACCCCCCAGTCAACTAGGAGTAGCCTACCCCCCATTCAACTAGGAGTAGCCTACCCCCCAGTCAACTAGGAGTAGCCTACCCCCCAGTCAACTAGGAGTAGCCTACCCCCCAGTCAACTAGGAGTAGCCTACTCTCCAGTCAACTAGGATTAGCCTACCCCCCAGTCAACTAGGAGTAGCCTACCCCCCAGTCAACTAGGAGTAGCCTACCCCCATTCAACTAGGAGTAGCCTACCCCCCATTCAACTAGGAGTAGCCTACCCCCCAGTCAACTAGGAGTAGCCTACCCCCCAGTCAACTAGGAGCAGCCTACTCTCCAGTCAACGTGATTCATTAAGACTCAAGTAAAGTATAGGCCAACACTGCCAGGGACATATTCATTAGGGCATCAAATAGAAAACGTTTTGAAATGGTTCGCAATGAAAAATGCATGTTTCAGTCCGTTTTCTTCAATTTGCTTTCTAATGAATATGACCCAGATGTCTGATAGATGGGAACAAATAAAAAACAAGCTCAAACTGGGAAAATCTGTGACGTCAGTGATCTTCAGGTTGGAGAAGTCGGAGCTCTAGGATGATAATTCCTATTGGAATGTCAGAGATTCTGAGTGTCAGAGATTATAGCCTATGCTCAATAGGCTCTAATTACTTAACCAAGAATGTGCACTATTCAAAATATATCTCCAGTCAAAGTTGTTGCTAGCACTTGCCCCCAAAATAAAGTGTACCATCTGGGTTAACTTGGTTGAGTTTACAAAAACAAAATCATACGACTACGAGTGTCATCCCAGATGAGGAATAAGACACTATTTCAAAGCACATGTAATGTTTGCCAAAGTACAATGTAATTACACACACACTCTACACACATGTACACATGGATTTTGTATTTTAGATATGTGGTAGTAGAGAAGTGGCCTGAGGGAACACTTAATGTGTTGTGAAAAATGTTATGAAATGTATATGTCATGTAATATTTTAAATGGTATATATAACTGCCTTAATGTTGCCGGACCCCAGGAAGAGTAAGCTAATGGGATCCTTTAATAAATACAAATCACTAGTAGTTACACAGGATTTAGCTAGTTAAAATGAAGTTTATCTTGAGGGGTACTTACATGTAATTATTGTGTACCGATAGCCAGTGGTGGAAAAAGTACCCATTTGTCATACTTGAGTAAAAGTAAAGATACCTTAATAGAAAATGACTGAAATAAAAGTGAAAGTCACCCAAGAAAATACTCCTTGAGTAAAAGTCTAAAAGTCTTTGGTTTTAAATAAACTTAAGTACCAAAAGTAAAAGTATAAATCATTTCAAATTTTTTATATTAAGCAAACCAGACGGCACAATGAAAAAATATACAAATATTATGGATAGCCAGGGGAACACTCCAACACTTAGACATCATTTGCAAACAAAGCATTTGTGTTTAGTGAGTCCACCAGGTCAGAGGCAGTAGGGATGACCAGAGATGTAATGAGTACTATTGGGTGTTAGGGAAAATGTATTGAGTTAAAAGTACATTATTTTCTTTAGAACTGTAGATGAGGAAAAGTAAATGTAATATAGTAAACTACAGATACCCCCCAAAAAGGACTTAAGTAGTACTTACAATGCATTCTCAAACTTTTGTATAATTGCAGCCAGTAGTTTTGAAAGTGGTGCTCATGAGCCAAAAGTCGTTCCTGTTTTTTATGTACTATGTCATCAAATTGTGTACTACATCATCCATTTCGTATGATATGTTACGTCCTGCAAAAAAACAAAAATAATAATTTTGTGTGTGTGCAATTCGTATGATATGTTCCGAATCCAATTCATGCTATATTGGGCTCCCGAGTGGCGCAGCGGTCTAAGACACTGCATCTCAGTGCTTGAGGCGTCGCTACAGACCCCCTGGTTCGATTCCAGGTTGTATCACATCCGGCTGTGATTGAGAGTCCCATAGGGCGGTGCACAATTGGCCCAGCGTCGTCCGGGTTTGGCTGGTGTAGGCCTAGTAAAATAAGTAAATATGTTACACATCTGTTGTGCTTAAGTGTCACGACTTCCTCTGAAGCTGCCTCCTCTCCTTGTTTGGGCAGGCTTCGGCGTTCGTCGTCACTGCCGCTCCATATCTCATCATTTGTTTTGTCTTGTCTATTACACACACCTGGTTCATATCCCTTCATTAGTCTGTGTATAAGTGTTCCCTCTGCCCCCTTGTCCTTGTGGGTGATTGTTTATTGTGAGTAGATAGTAGCTCGGTTGAGCTCAGTGTATTTTGTATTGCCGGGGTATTTTCCCCATGTGCCTGTTTGTTCCAGTGCACCTGTTTTGTGCACTGGACTGATTACGCTGTATTAATGAATAAACTCTGTATACTGTGATTTACCCTCGTGCGCCTGACTCCTTCAAATCACGCATCACAGAATCACCTACCCGCTATGGAGTCAGCGGGAGAGGAGCGCATGCCTGGAGTCGTGGCACAGCTCCAGGAGCATTCAACAATGCTAGCCAGCTTGGGAGAAGCGATGGATCGGGTTCTCCAGGTCGTCCAACGTCTGGAGAGGAGAGGACCCGATCTGTCGAGACCAGCTGGTCAACCGGATCCAGCCACCCACACCCCAGCACCCAGAGGGATCCATATATCCCGACCACTGGATTTCGACGGCACAGCTGCTCTCTGCCAGGGATTCCTTCTCCAACTGGAGCTCTACTTCTCCAGCATCAGCCCGGCCCCATCGGAGCGGGAGAAGGTGTCCGCCCTCGTCTCCTGCCTCTCTGGGAAAGCCCTGGAGTGGGCCAACGCGGTCTGGAATGAAGGAGGAGCCGCGTTGGACAACTACGGGGAGTTCGCTCGCCTCTTTCGGGCTGTCTTCGATCACCCGAGGGTCGAGAGGTGGGCGAGCGGCTGGTCCACCTGAGGCAGGGGACGAGGACCGCGCAGGACTTCGCCCTACATTTACATTTCCGTCATTTAGCAGACGCTCTTATCCAGAGCGACTTACAAATTGTAACGCGACTTACAAATTGTACACCTTATAGCCAGTGGGATAACCACTTTACAATGTTTATTTTTTTTTGGGGGGGGGGGGGGGGGGGGGGGGGGGGGGGGGGTATAAGGATTACTTTATCCTATCCCAGGTATTCCTTAAAGAGGTGGGGTTTCAAATGTCTCCGGAAGGTGGTGAGTGACTCCGCTGTCCTGGCGTCGTGAGGGAGCTTGTTCCACCATTGGGGTGCCAGAGCAGCGAACAGTTTTGACTGGGCTGAGCGGGAACTGTGCTTTCGCAGAGGTAGGGGAGCCAGCAGGCCAGAGGTGGATGAACGCAATGCCCTCGTTTGGGTGTAGGGACTGATCAGAGCCTGGAGGTACGGAGGTGCCGTTCCCCTCACAGCTCCGTAGGCAAGCACCATGGTCTTGTAGCAGATGCAAGCTTCAACTGGAAGCCAGTGGAGTGTGCGGAGGAGCGGGGTGATGTGAGAGAACTTGGGAAGGTTGAACACCAGACGGGCTGCGGCATTCTGGATGAGTTGTAGGGGTTTAATGGCACAGGCAGGGAGCCCAGCCAACAGTGAGTTGCAGTAATCCAGATGGGAGATGACAAGTGCCTGGATTAGGACCTGTGCCGCTTCCTGTGTAAGGCAGGGTCGTACTCTTCGAATGTTGTAGAGCATGAACCTACAGGATCGGGTCACCGCCTTGATGTTAGCGGAGAATGACAGGGTGTTGTCCAGGGTCACGCCAAGGCTCTTCGCACTCTGGGAGGAGGACACAACGGAGTTGTCAACCGTGATGGCAAGATCATGGAACGGGCAGTCCTTCCCCGGGAGGAAGAGCAGCTCTGTCTTGCCAAAGTTCAGCTTGAGGTGGTGATCCGTCATCCATACTGATATGTCTGCCAGACATGCAGAGATGCGATTCGCCACCTGGTTATCAGAAGGAGGAAAGGAGAAGATTAGTTGTGTGTCGTCTGCGTAGCAATGATAGGAGAGGCCATGTGAGGATATGACAGAGCCAAGTGACTTGGTGTATAGCGAGAATAGGAGAGGGCCTAGAACTGAGCCCTGGGGGACACCAGTGGTGAGAGCACATGGTACGGAGACAGCTTCTCGCCACGCCACTTGGTAGGAGCGACCGGTCAGGTAGGACGCAATCCAAGAGTGAGCCGCGCCGGAGATGCCCAGCTCAGAGAGGGTGGAGAGGAGGATCTGATGGTTCACAGTAT